CACAGGCAATGCAGCCTTGGAATTTGATAGCTTTCGGTGTACTGGGAACAGCTACAACCATTCTAATAATTGTATATTGTCCATTAAAATATAGCAAAAAACCAAGCAATGCATTGGAAATTGTTTGCATAGTTTTCCAAATCTTTGAAGAGCAATTATAATTTATTTCTGTCAGTACAATTACATGTCCAATTGTCACCATTTGGCAACAGTTGTGAGGTTGCTCCAAGACGGAGAGTGAAAATAAATAATGAACAAATTTTTCTTCCTGACCCCAGCATAATTTGTAGGGGAAAATGTGTTAACAATCCAATGTGCCAGAAACAGTGATGCAAACCAAACACATCATCCATGTTGAGGTTAAAAATGCAAAGTTAGAGCTATCTCTCTCAGGATATGTCTACATTACAATGTAAGGCCAGAGTTAGTGGGTCTCAAGTCAGCTGACCTTTTGCAAGTTCCAGCTCTGCTTGGTTTTCGGCAATTGTCACTTTTCCCTTGACCTCCAAGAGGTAGCTTTTCTTGCTGCTCATTCCCATCTTCCATTCCTTGGCTTCTGCTTTCTCTTAATAACCTGTTTGAGATGCTTGTTCATCCAGTTTGGTTTGCAACCTTTCCCTATGAATTTTTTGCCCTTCCTTGGGATACTGGTGTAACCTCTGTGATGCTGTATGGAATATAAGAGACACTTTATGCTATTATAAATACCAATATTATAAAATTGCAATGAATCATGCCAGATATGCCATGTAAGGTATCTGTGAAAATGTTATAATCTGCAAGTTGATAATCTTGTTTATATATTTCTATCACCTTTGCATTGTGAATTATAGATATGTAGGGTATATCTGTATTTCCAAACTTGTGCTGTGTTTCTAGGTGACACCCCCGGACAGACTGACATCAGCATAGCCTAGCCTGTTTGATCATTCATCAAGGGTCATCAGCTATTCAATGAACCCATTGAAAAAGCCAGGAACTACACCTTCTGAGTCAGCAAGCCATGTAGAGGCATGCCTGTGGACAGAGAACTCTAAGGCTTTTCTGTGCCATGTGCCGTGAAGCTTGTGTTTGGGACAAGCCACATGACAGAAGACTATACAAGGCAGCTGCATCATCTCCATTTTGTCTTCATTCCTGCTTCTTACCTCTGGAGTAACTTTTCCACAAATGAAGTTCTGAACAAAGGACTAAATGACCAATCCAAGCTGTGGATTGTTCCAGAGGGACTTTCTAGCCAGCAAACTCACCAATACTGCTAAGAACCTGATATATAGACTTTGAAGTCTCTGTATGTATCTGAGTGCTTTATCATTTAACAACTCTCTTCTTGTTCTTTTTTTTCCTTTATAATAAACCTTTAGTTTTAGACACTAAAGGATTGGCTGGTAGCATCGTATTTTGGGTAAGATGCAAATCTACACTGCTCTGGTAACGTGGCTGGCCCTTTGGGGTCAGAAGAACATTTTACATAGTGAGCAGAGTTTTTAAAATAACTTCTCACTGTACTGGACCTAGGTGCTGATTGGGAGCCAGAGAAAGGAATGCAATAAAGGGGGCTGAGTGATTTATTTTTTAGCTTCTTGATAACCAGTGTGGGGGATCAGGAGCACAGTTTGTGATCGGTTGGTGAGTCTAACTTCAGGTCAATCGCCAGTTTAGGAAGAATCTGCTCTCCTTTTGCAGCCTACCATGACCTTGGCATTTTCAGTAAGGGCTACCCCAGGCACACCGGGTCACAACCCCTTTTGGGTTTAGCGAGCATGACTCCTTTAAAACCTTGGCCTGAGGGAGAGAAAGTGCTGATTGTTCCAGGAAGAGGAAGGGCTGGCTCTGGGAGGGGTGTGAAGGGAGGGAGAGAGAGAGAGAGAGAGTATGTGTGTGTGTGTGTGTGTCTGTATCTCCAGACAGAAGGGTGACAGTGAGCAGGCCCTCACAAAGTGAAGCAGCCAAGAACCTGCCCAAAGCTTGGGAGGGACAGAGAGGCCAACCTGGGAGGCACCAGGACAGAAGGCAGGAGGAGCACCATGCCAGGGTGGAATCTCTGGAGCTGGACCCAGTATCACTATTGCCCAGAGCTGTATGGGGCCGTGAGAACTGGGGCTTGTGACTTTGCATTGGGAATAAAGGGAAAGGCTCTGAGTGTCTTTGCAGAGAGTGGCAGAAGAGGGCACTGGAGAGATTTGTTGGGGAAAGTTCACTGGTGCCAAAGATGACCAGGAGCACCCAAGACTCACTGCCAGACTGGAACTCTGCCCAGGACCCCTGAACTCTGAGTGCAGACATAGTGATCAGTGTCTACCTTTTCAGACAGTGGTACTGCTGGGCCTGTGGGGCCGTGTGGTAGATGTAACTCTGTTTTACCACTGCCCCTATCTTCCCTCCTGTTGTTCTTCTCCAGTCATCCCTCTGTAAATAAATATTTCCCTCTCCTGTATTCATTGTACTATTCTGGTGTGCATGTGTTCACATCAGGGGGTGTGGTACAATGTACCCTTGGGGCGGAAGGGACTCTCCCTGCTGCGTTCCTGCATGCGCCTTTTCTTGGCCAGAGCTGCCTGCAGAGCAGACTCCATCTTGGCCATGAGGACACTAAAGTTACACAGGCTTCAGATAGTGTCTGCAACTTTGACTTAAAGTAATTCCAAGCCTCCTCCACATTCAGATGCTTGAATTCTTCCGTCCAGGCCACTTCCCTAACTAGTTCCCGTAATTTTTTAGTTTGCTCTTTCAAAATCAAGGGCCTAGCTGCAGACCCATTTTATTTATCCTTCCATTTAGTTTAAACTGAATTAGCTCACGGTCACTCAAACCAAGGTTGTCCTCTATAACAGCTCATCTATGAGGTCCTCGCTACTTACCAATACTAAATCTAATGCACCTCACCAAGCACTTGCGGTGACACAAACAGCATTGTCAAAATAGTCAGGTTTATCAGTTCACTGGAACACAGCATACAAAGTCCTTTAGGTAGCATAGAAAACTGAAGGTCCATTCTGGTTAGCCCAGAGCCCGGCCAACCTGCAGTGAACCCCTTTATTCAAGCTCTTTCTCTGTCTGACCTCGTTGGTCAGCCTCCAGGTGAGAGCCCTGACTCTTTCCAGCAGCCACATCTTATCCTCCCACCTTCCCAGTCCTTTGTTCTCCAGCTGGGGAATGTTGCTCAGCCTCCCGGTGGTGAGGTGGGGAAATTTGTATCCTTCTGGGGCTTTGGTTGCTAGGTGTCAATGTCCATATGATTGGATTTGTCATTGTCTTCTCAAATGCTCCATTGATATGGGGGCCAAGGCTCATACAGCTAAGCAACACCCATACCTAGGTCTCTTAGCCTGCTCTGAGAGCAAACCTGGATTTCAGTAAGGCATTTGATAAAGTTTCACATGAGAAATCATTAGGTAAATTGGAGAAGATGGGGATTAACATGAGAATTGAAAGGTGGGTAAGGAGCTGTTTAAAGGAGAAACTACAATGGGTCATATTGAAAGGTGAACTGTCAGGCTGTAGGGAGCTTACTAGTGGAGTTCCTCAGGGACTGGTTTGGGGACTAATCTCATTTAACATTTTTATTAATGAACTTGGGACAAAAAGTGGGAGTGTGCTAATAAAATTGAGGGACGACACAAAGATGGGGGGTATTGCCAAAACAGAGGAGGACAGGAATATCATACAAAAAGAATGGGATGATTTTGAAAACTGGAGTAATAAAAATGCGATGAAATTTAATAGTGCAAAGTGCAAGAGTTGTGCACTTAGGGACTAACAACAAGAATTTTGGCTATAAACTGGGGACATATAAATTGGAAGCCACAGAGGAGGAGAAACACCTGGCTGTTTGCTCAATCACAGGATTACTATGAGCCATTGATATGATGTGGCCATGAAAAAGGCTAATGCAGTCCTAGGATGCATCAGGCAAGGTATTTCCAGTAGAGATGTTATTACCACTATAAAAGACACCGATGAGACTTCAACTGGAATACTTCATCTGTGTGCAGTGCTGATCCCTTGTGTTGAAGAAATATGAATTCAGACTGTAACAGGTGCAGAGAAAGGCTATTAGGATGATCAGAAGAGTGAAGAGCCTCTTACAAGAGGCGACTGAAGGAGTTTGGCTTGTTTAGCCTAACCAAATGAAGGCTGAGAGGAGATATAATTGCTCTCTATAAATGCAGCAGAGGAATAAATACCAGGGAAGAATAGAAGTTATTTAAGACAAACACCAATGCTGGCACAAGAACAAATGGATCTAAACTGGCCACCAACAAATTTAGGCTTGAAATTAGACATAGATTTCTAACCATCAGAGGAGTGATGTTCTTGAACAGCCTCCCAAGGGGAGCAAAAAACAACCATCCCTAACTGGTCTCTGGACTGAGCTAGATAAGTTTATGGAGAGGATGGTATGATGAGTTTGCTTATCATTATACATGGTCCATCTGCTAGTAGCAAATATCTTCAATGGCCAGAGATGGGACACTAGATGGGGAGGGCTCTCAGTTACTACAGCACATTCTTTCCCAGGTGTCTGGCTAGTGGGTTTTGCTGACATGCTCTGGGTTTAACTGATCATCATATTTGGAGTCAGGAAGGAATTTTCCCCCAGGTCAGATTGGCGGAGCCCCGGGGTTTCTTGCCATCCTCTGCAGCATGGGACACAGGTCTCTTGCTGACTTGAAGTAGAGTAAATGGTGGATTCGCTGTAATGTGCACAGTCTTTAAATCATGATTTGAGGACTTCAATAACTCAGCCAGAGGTTATGAATGTAGCACAGAAGTGGGTGAGTGAGATTCTGTGGCCTGTGATGTGCAGGAGGTCAGACTAGAGCAGAAGTTCTCAAACTGGAGAACAACCCCCTCCCCCCGCGCGCCCCGTGGGCAGCACAGAATATATTCTGGGGGGTGTGTGAGAAGCTTTAGGGGAAAAAAACTTAACTGTGCACATTTTACCCACAGCAATGAATAACTAGAAGAGCGGATGCCTCCAGACATATCAGGTCCTTGGATGGTGCTGTGCATTTGACTGTGGCGCTATGCATTTTGGCAGATTTCTGTTAAGCTTGCATAGCATTATACAAAGTCATTGCCATCTGTATGTTAATCCGTTTGCTACGATGTGGTGTGCACATTTAATTGTAAACATCGACCACAATCGCAGTGTTGCTTTTGCGCTTATTACACTTCATCACTGACTCTGCTTGAATCAATGCCTTGCTGTTTTTAATATTTAGTCAGAGTTGCCTGTTGATTTTTTTTTATCGGTATATGTACTTGTGTGGCGGGGGGAGGGGAGGAGGAGCAGGTATAAACTACTACAGACACAAAGAAGGGGGGGCACAATAAAATACATTTGAGAACCAATGGTCCCTTCTGGCCTTAAAGTCTGTGTGGGTGTGGCTACATTGCAATCTAATCCCAGAGTTAGTGGGACTCAAATCAGCTGACTCATGTTAGAGAATGTGGGGCTTGAGCATCTACACTGAGGCTTAACCTTACATTAAGAATTTTCTAACCCAAATTTGAACCTGGGACTCTGGTGTCTACACTGCGGCATGCAGACGCGAGTCAAACCAGCCAGATACCAAACTCCTTTGTGCCCTCCTGAAATGTGACCATGCTAACCCATTGACCATTGTGCACTATGAGAAAATTTTACTGCCCACCCTGAACATTACAGGATGTTTGAATGGGCTGCCAACACATCCTGCTGAGCAATGTGGAGCAGGCCCCTTTTCAAGAAATTCTCTTGCTTGCACTTCAACTCCTGTGTCAGAAAATGGCCATGGGTTCCATGAGGCGCTGGTGGATATTTAAGCAGCGGTTTCAGACCCACCAAAGTCATCTGACTGATGGAGGAGGAGAACACAGACGTTGCAGACTCTCACTGCCTGATGCTGCTTATTACGCTCATTACACTCATGCCCCCTACATAGACCTGCCCTTCTGGTGCAGGGCCATAAGCACAGACTGGTGGCAATCACAATGTCATGCAGTTCTGGGATCACCAGCAGTAGGTCCAGAAATGTTGCATAAAGAAAACTACATTTATGGTGCTCTGTGAGCAGCTTGCCCTGACCCACCAGCATAAAGACCCACAGATGAGGGCATCTTGGCCAGTCCAGAAGCAGGTTGCTATAGCCATCTGGAAGATGGCTACCCCTGGCTGCTACAGGTCTATTGCCAACCAGTTTGGTGTTGGAAAGTCAACAGTGGATAAAGTGATGGCCGAGGTTTCTGAAGCAATCAGGCGTGTGCTCTACCCCAAGATGGCAGGCTTACAAGATATTCCTGAGGTAACTGCTGGCTTTGAGAGAATGGGGTTGTCAAAGTATGCTGGAGCCATTGATGGGACTTATGTGCCCATAGTTTGGCTGCCTCAAGGAGCATATGAGGACATAAACCACTAATGGTGCTAATCCATTGTTATGCAGGCCCTCATGGACCGCAGAGGGCAATTTATGAACAGCAGTGTGGGGTGCACGGGGAAAGTTAATGATACCAGGGCTTTTTGCCAATCACATTCATGGACCAGCTGGGGCACTGTTCCCACCCAATGACATTTTCATAAATGGAGTTCCGGTCCCCACCATTATTCTATGGGACCCTGCATGTCCCCTTTTGCCTTGGCTTATGAAACTGTACTCAGATTTCAGAGGCCCTGGCAAAAGAAGGTTTAATTACACCCTCAACAGGCATAGAATGGCTGTTGAATATGCTTTTGGCAGATTGAACAGAAGAACAGCCATACAGGGTCAGACCAAAGGTCCAGTTAGCCCAGTATCCTGTCTTCCAACAGTGGCCAATGCCCCAGAGGGAATGAACAGA